TGCCCAGGTCGATGGTGGCGCTCAAAGCTGCCAAATGATAGGATGCCCTTGGTCAGAGGGCTGTTCCAAATGTGGTATCTTGTATCCAGGAGATTGCCTATGTCTGCTAGGATTTTGCATAAGATAGCTGCCATGTTTGCATTGTTGTATGCAAGTAGATGCATTCCCCAACGCTGTTCATACTTGTTGGCAATGGTCTCTCGATTGCCCTTTAGGTTGACATGCTATATAGGTAAAGGATTTGCCCGGAAGGGAAAAAGTTTGAAAAATGTCACTTTGCGAATTGGGGTTTTTTGATAATCCTTGATGTCCCATCTGGCGAATTATCCATAACACCTTTGCTTGTGTTTCCTTTGGATACTGCATTGGGTTATGCTGTGCAATTGCTTGTTGATGTGCCTGTCAGCTCTTTGGCTTGTCCGCTCTTCGGCATTCCAGGCGTAGTTACATATTCATTGCACACGCGCACATCAAAGGTGATTAACCTTCAGTTATCCCCTATATTACCTCCCCCTTGCCAGGTCCCTCCCGGGACTGACACGGCACTAGCGATATTTATATTGAACAAGACTGTGGGGCACAAAAAGATAAGGGAGGGTGGGTGGGAAAAAAGCCTATGCACTTGTTAGGGAATAGGTAGTGGAGGCATCCCATAGCGAGTAAATTACTGATTTTTGCGCAATATGTAGTAATTCTGAGACCGCTTCTGGGTAAAAGGGTTCCCAATATCCCATTGTATGTGCCAAAATAACTCCCTAAAAATTGGATTATCTGTTGTGGACTACTACAACTAAGTAAAGATCTATTTCCGCCAGCAGTTTACAGTCAAAAGACCGCCGTGCTCTTGGAGATCTTATGGACAATCAGGATGATTGATTCGATGGTAGTATGTCTTTAGATATCCGAAATATTTGTTATATATCTATAGGTGACCAATCCTATATACAAATGATATATAAAAGTAATAATTTCATGTCATTTCGGACGTAAGGTGTTTTATATAAGCGATAACTCGTGGTATTTTCGCATATGAGGAGCAATAACTCGTGGTATTTTTGCTATAGTGATAGTTTAATGTCATTGCGGACGTAAGGTGTTTTAAGCGATAACTCGTGGTATTTTCGCAAATATTGCCCATATTTTGAAAGCAATGTTGGTGGGGCTGCACAAGTATCCAAGATCAAATGTTGCTGCAGCACTGTCCTGGTGAGGGAGCGGCTTACGTGAAGGTGCCTGCTACCAAGTCTTGAGGTAGGCTGACAGCGGTAGAGGTGATGATGGATGTGTCAAAAAAGGTGCGCCCCACACCTGGATTTCTCTGGGCTGAAAATGCACAAGCGAATAACTCTTGGTCTTCTTCGCTTGACTGAAAATTAAACAGTTTTATTTAAGGTGGTCATGTTTAGGACCAATAAAACCACCCAGCCAGCAGGAAGCTGGGGGGGGTGCATGGAGATTCATTATAATGTCACAAAGCACCAAAGCACTTAACCCAATTAAGGG